CACAGCCCAGGCCACCGAAGCCGCCCCAGCCATAGCCGCGGCCTCCGTAGTAGCTGCCGTAGTAGCTCATGGTGTCAGGGGGAGTGTGTTTCTGTTCAAGATGGGGTCCTGAGAGTGAGTGCCGGCGAGTGAGGGAGGGAGCTTATGTACCTGACCAGCAGGTGCTCAATCACGTGACCATTCCTGGGTTTCATTCCAAAGGATTCATGGCCCTGAGGCAGCTCATTAATCTGGTTGCTGACGCAGAGATGCTCATATTTATTAAAATTTAGAGCCGGCACAGCTGCCTGGTTAGAACACGCTTGAACCCATGACAGTGTTTGTTTCTAAGCAGAAGCATATCTGCCTTCCACGTCACAGTATAAAACCTCACTAAACACAATTCTCCTTCCTAAGCGCATGGCATTTGTCATATTGGTTGGCGTGTTCTCATTAAATATTGTATCATCTTAATTTGCATATCATTCTTTGGATTATCCTATCTTACTTTCATCTCAGTTCAAATACAGTGATCCAATGTAAGATCCTTACACCTATGAAATTCCTTAATTGTCAAACGTATTTCTCTCAACTTGAACAATCTCACACGTGTACCCCCAGGCTGAGCACCTGGTCACAAAGTTCTCTGTAAACATCACCCTCATTTTCACATGGAAACGGATTATCCGGAAACATAGGTGACAGTGTCTTCTGCTTTGCAGTTGCTCTTTATTTTCTCTCTCTATTCTTCCCGGTTCCCACACATCCTCTGTCTCTTCCAGCCGCTCTTTCAGTCGTCATTTCCCGCTCAGTCCCACACACGCTCACAGGAGCCAGGTCTTCCACTCTGATTCGGTTTTCCCATCAGTACTTCATCCCTCCACTCAGGTTTGTAATTTTAGCCTGATTTTCTCTCCTTATATTCTTTCCTAAAAAATTTCTTTTTATTGATTTCAGAGAGCAAGGGAGAGGGAGAGAGAGATAGCAACATCAATGATGAAGAACAATCATTGATCGGCTGCCTCCTGCACACCCCACACTGGGGATCAAGCCTGTAATCTGGGCATGTGCCCTGACCAGGAATCAAACTGAACCATGACCTCCTGGTTCATAGGTTGATGCTTAACCACTGAGACATACTGGCTGGTTATGTCCTTATATTCTCTATCAATTCTCTGTGTCCTACCCCTAATTTTCTCTTAGGCAATTAGCAAACACTTTTATGTTTTATTTTAGAATAGTTGAATACAGTCTTACTTTGGTGATATTAGTTTCAGGTGCACAGTATAATGACTCAGCATGTTTATACCTCACAATGGCCTCCCCCTTAATGACCTGCAATCACCTGTCACTGTGAAAACTTGTCTCATTATCACCGACTCTCCCCCTTTCCCTTGTCACTCAACCCCCAACATTTTCAATAACATATCCTAATTCTTCGGGGCTTTAAATTACAAAAACTTCTGTACTCCTAAGATTATATTATATTTTAATGAAAGTCTCCTGAAATCCTGATGCCTGGAAATGCTGCAAAAAATAAACATGGCAGGGAGGATGTGACTGAGACAAAAACAGGAACATCATAGAGGTTAGCCGCCAGCCTTCAGCGAATTTCCTCGGCTTGTAAGGAACCCGAGTGTGAGCCCAGGGTTCAAGGTGAAGCCCCACTGGAGTGAGCCCACGCCTGGGGCTTGGTCTTTCCCATTGTGTGAGCTTCACAGACTTTAACATGTACCTGGGCTGTGTTTTGTAGGTGGTGCTGGGGTTTTTGATCCGTTTTAAGGTTTATATGTGTCAGAGGCAAGCTCCTAGGCTAGGGACTTAACCTTCTGGGTGAGGGGAATCAGAAGGACATAGGGTACCAGCAGGCAAATGGGACCTGCTTAATTACACACAACAGCAGCCACAGCAGGTGGTCAGTGATACCTTACATACACGCCCAAACACGCTCAAGAAAAGAGGCTTTTTGCCAAATACCAGGTGTACCAGTTAATATTCTGTATTTTTTTCACTAGATGGAGTTACACATATATTGATATATATGCGATGTGATGTGTATGCTATTTTGTTGTATTGACAGCAAGCTTCAAAATTTCATATGTCAAATTTTCTGAAGGTGTTAACATCATAGATATTTTTACACTTAAAAATGATAAAATTTTGTGCCAAAAAAAGAGCATTTGCAGGAAGTTTTAACTCATTGCTTTATTTTGAAGAAAAGTGCTGCTGGAAGTTATTGTGTACTTCAGGAAGCTTGTGGTGAACATGCTCTATCTCAAGATACTTGTGAACGCTGGTTTAAATGCTTTAACAG